GATTTTATTGGTTGGGCTTACATATACTTCAAAAAAAAATATTCTTAAATGATTTGAACTGCAATGCTTGGATACATTTTCTTATGTGCCCTACCTGTGTGTACAGATCTACACACCCAAAAATCTTTTTAAGGAGCAATATCTGTCAGCAACAACTGATCAACAGCTAGCTTTTAACTGTCAACACCTTAGCTACTTTTTTCTATTAATTGGCAATTTTTTTCTTTTTTCTTTTAGTTATAACTTTTAGCTTTATGTAATTGGATCTCATGAGGCAGTTGTTGCTGACAACCTTGAATTGCTTAATTGATTGTTCTTGAATTGCTTAATTGAAACCCCTGCCATATCTCTTTCACATAATTTAAAAAAAATGGCTAGCACCAGGACAGTACAAGAACATGACCAGATTGACTATGATAAAATGTGGAAACATAAGCAAGGCAAGGTGTTTTGTTACACTTGAAAAAAAAATGTACTGGCTCTGAGAAGGCCAAAATTTGCAAATACAAGGCAGTTTTGTTTTGCACCAATTTAATTATTTTAAGCACCAAAAAACGATGCCAGCCTATGGCTGTAGAATTTTATGCTTAATTGTAGCTGCTGCTTTCCACTCTTATTCTTGGAGAAAGACACACAACAGGTAATGAAATGAGTCTCCCACTAAATGTGCTGGCCTATCTGTTCAGCAATGGAGAGTATGCTCTAGGAAGAACACAAAATGGATTTTACTTGTATCTTCAAAAGGGCCATAATGGTGCAGCTGTGAGACTTCCCTCCCTGTCAATAGAGGCACCAGATGTTGTGGCAGATTCAGCAAGAGGATGCTGTGGAGTGGGGCAGCAGATATGTTAAAAAGAGTCCATACTGTAGAGCCCTGTATACCAAGCCTGGGAATAGCAGTGACCTGTACCTGTGGGGCAGTGTCATTAGATGGATCAGGATGACTACTTTCTCCAGTCCTCTACGCTCTGCCCCTACCCTGGATAGAAATCCTCCCTATTGCTCTGCTGCCTCTCCCTGTGAATTTTCATCTTCTGTAATTGGTGGCATCCATGGACAGACTACTACCTCATCATCCACCCTCACCCCATCACTGGAGGTGGCACAGCCAGATACAGAAAAGACAGATGTGCCCTACTTCTAGATGGTGCAGAGTGGCCATCACTTTGCCTTGCATAACATGCTTGCCTCCTACTACCGCAATATACATAACCCCTGCCTCTCATTTTGGGCTTGCCAGACGATTTTTTACTTTTGAATGGCAGCTATGGTTATGGGGGGGGGGTGGGTGGTGATAAATTTGTGTACTTTGGTGAAAACTACTTTACCGCCCCCCCTGTGGCCCAAAGAGCCTTCCACTAACACCTGCCAAAAGATCCCCCGCCAGCCCAGAGAACCTTCCACTAACACCTCTCTGGCCAAGAGAACCACCCCCCATACACCCGCCACCACCCCCCTCCCCCCTGGCAAGAGAAAGAAAGACACCTTCACAGCTCCGGACATTGGACGTCAGGTTCTGCATACACTGTCCCACAGCCTCTCTGGAATCCCATCTGGTCTCCATGCCACGCATATTCCTTCTTCTGGGGGGTAGCACTGTCCCCCTGAAAAATGCCGCCCTAGGCAACTGCCTTGTTTGCCTTGTGGTAAATACGCACTTGCCTGCAACTTGTGGTTGCAGGAAAGAACATCGAGTCATCTATGACTTGCCTTAGCCTTAAATAAAATTAACAAATCATTATGGTTTCCCTCTAAGATATGACCCCACAAACCCTATCTTTATCTCTATGTTTATTAAGCAATGTTAACTATTCAATCTAGAAAAAAAAATCTTAGTTTTATAGGCTAATATACTTTAGTGTTTTTTTGCAATAAGAATGTTAATTGTTTCACATTTGTGGTGGTTATACTAATTTAACTTCAATACAATTAAAAAAGTACTTACACTAAAATGTTTCTGTTTTTATGTTGTGTTTCAGACCCTCCACATACTATTGGACCACTGCCACTATATTACGGAATTTTTATTCCACAACAGCATCGCTCAGCGTATGGATAAATTGCTTCTGATTAAGTTTTTTAAAAAAGGCTTTTTTGAGGTAGCTTTAGTATTTTTCATCGAACAGTAATAGATTGTCTTTGACCAGTGGATAGAAACTCGCCAGTAGTTTGCTATGACTGCTCATGTTGTCACTGATACAAAACTGTTCTGCCATTGGTCAATTTCTTGTTCAAATATTTTATTAGAAAGTATAAAGAGGTCACTGGTCAATTCTATCAAGCTCTCATAAAAAATTAGGAAAATCAGATGATACAACAATGTAAAGTTGTCCAGCAGCAGGAAATATTTAGTGAGAAATAATTGGTCAAGATGTAAAAGAGAAAGGAGTACAGGCATGCGTTTTGCTACATGAATTAAAAGACCACAGGTGACAGAGCAGTGTAAAATTGGCCAGCAGCAGGAAAATTTTAAATAGCAAGGCTATGTCCAAATTTACTAGAGACAAAGACCACAGGCTGGAGCTGTGCTATGAGAAAAATGAAACTTCAGTGCAAAGTTAGTGAGTAGCAGGACACTTTCAATCAGGGATAATAGGCAAAAATGGGCTACAGACAAAAAGTACAGGCAAGTGTATTACTACAAGAAAATAAGAGACCAGAGATAACACAGTACCTTAATTTTGGTCAGCAAGTGAGCAATAGTAGGTCCAAATTTACTTAAGTCAAAGGGGTTGCTTTGCTAAAGGCAAATAGGCTGTTCACTTTACAAGCAAATGTTCCCTTTGCGTAGTAAATGTGGTAGAAACTCTCTTTAGAAAGAATACCTAATACCTGCAAGGAAAATAAAAAACGTTCTTTTTGATTGCCTCATCTCATTCACTAACTAACATACCGTTGCAATGTGAAATTTATTTAACAAAGTGAATGTCCTATTTGCCTTTAAATCAAGCCCAAAGTTTATAAGCTGGGAACCTACTACAAGAATTAGGATCTTGCACATCATAAAGCAGTGTAAAACTAGCAGGACAGTTTTGATTAGGGATAGTAGGCCTAACTAGTGTGTGCCTAACTTCTTTAATCTGTGTAGATAGTGTGGTTTAGGTGCACATTGCTCTGTCACCACTTCCACTCACCACCAATGTGGAAGGGAGGATGTTAAATAGCACAGATGCTGACCACCAGTCAGGGGAGCTAAATAGAACTGCAATTGGGCACCAATGCGGATGGGGGAGTTAATAGCATTGCCTCTGACCACCAATATGGGGGGAGTTAATAGCACTGCTGGTAACACAAATTATGGGTTTTTGGAAGGTTTTTTTGGTCACTGAGCCAAGGTGATATTTTTTATATTGTAGTCACTGACAATAATTCTGTGGGTTATTATTGCATCCACTGACACTCATGCTGGGAGTTATATCTACTGTCACTGACACCTTTGCAGGAGGATATTACTGCATCCACTGACATCAATGCTGGGGATTTTTATTGCATCCAATTACATCAATACTGGGGGTAATATGGTAGGCAATGACACTAATGCTGTTTGGATTTCATTGTGTACACAGACACTAATGCTGGGAGCTATTATTACTGTCATTGACAAATGATGGAGTTTATTTATCTCCCACTTTGTTTTCAGACTGTGTTGTGGTTTCCTGCAAAAAATGCAGTAGGACCAAATTTTTGGGGCATTGAGGTGCACTACAGCCCATTCAGTTTGAAAAGGCTGCCTAACTTGACCCATTGCACCCGATTGATGAAAATACACTGCTGTTGTGAGGCCCTCTTGAAGGAACCACACTTGAGGCACTCTTAACATTTCAAGTTGAAAATCACTGCCCTATAGGGCCCATAGGCAATGAAGAATCTATGTGAAATGCCATATACCTGAGAGGATTATGGTTCCAAAATCTATAATGAGTCACCAGTTAAAACAAGCAAACATGTTTAGCTATGAACACACTTATAAAGTATATGAAGAGATCATTCAGTGTACGTCACCTTGTTATCTTTTCATGCATTGGTCATGCAGTAAATTTTGCACAGAAATGATTCTGTGTTTCATAGGGTTTTTTTCAGTTGTGATTGGTTAAGAATGGATGGTATTTTTTTCTTTTAAAGTATATAATTTCTTCTTCCTTGTCTTCTAATATATAAAATCTTCTTAGTTTATTGCAGGTATGGTGGGTGTACTATGTGCCTGAGGTCCTTAATCCTGAGAGCTAAAATAAGAGACCAGGAGCTTCCTGACTTGTTCAGAAGTATTTCTAATTAAATTTTTAATTGAATATATACCATATCTTTGTGTCTAAGTCTACTCTTATTTTCAGACACTGCTAGGAAGCTTAATATTACGACCCCATAAGATTCTTCATGGAGTTCTATTTAGAGACATACTGTATATTACTTATTGTACTTATGATGTGTCCCATGAAGTCAAAAGGTGAAATTGGCAAATTATCCTTTGAAAAACATTTTATTTGGGACAGTGGGTCACCCCAAACACATCATTTGAGCTATGGCCAAAGAGTAAATGGACTAGTAGGCATTTGTCTGATATATAATAACTGCATATTGTTATTGTTGTGAATTATGTAAGTTCCCAGTGTGGACTCTGTTCAGCTCATAAGGATATGCATTGCTATATCTTTATCAGGCAAATTTTATATCTTTAATTGCCTTCAGAAATAAAGTTCAGGCAACAGAAATGAATTAGTCAAGGGTTAAGACTCCAGTATTGGATTATCTGCCCCTAAGCTTCTGAGTCAATCAACCTGCCCTAATCATTTTAATGTGACTCTCTCTCCCTGTTGGATTATAGAGCATACAGGTGAATGAGTGCTATTCTGTAAAAATAGGATGAAAGGGAAGGGATAAAGCATGGAGGTATGGTTCCAAGAGCTATATGAAAATGGGTTATTCATCCATGCCATTATCCACCCATTCCTAGGAGTTTAGTTTTGAACAGAGGCGGACTGACCATTTGGAAACTCAGGCACTGCCCGAGGGCCCGGGGTCAGTAGGGGGCACCATGAGATGCCCCGTTACCTTTTTCGTAGGCTTTTTTGAGTTTGGGCAAGGACACAGGGGCCCCATGATCCCCTATTGCCCGGGGACCCCATGAGTTGTCAGTCCGCCCCTGGTCTTGAATAGACTGTCCCTTTTATAAAAAGTTTTACATTTAAGTACACAATAATAATAACACAAAAGAAGTCACAAGACATTTTGTAATGCAAGTAAAACTGATATCTTGCAGATGAATAACATTTTTGGATAGACCAGAAAAAAAGTAAAAAAAAAAAAAAAAAAAAAAAAAAAAAAAAGACTAAAAACCACATGGTCATAAACAAATACAGAACATGTTACAGACATTTTAAAATGACTCTTATCAGGTGGATCAGGCACATTGGATGAGTGCTAGTGACAAATGAGTTCAGGTCATAGCTCATGTAATGAGCATAATGCTATTTTAGCCACAAATGATCCATTAAGAGGACAACGCCAGCCGGAGTTCCAAAAGCTGAACAAAGCGCTGCTTTGTGGTGTAAAAATGAACGCAGGCCAGAAGTCATTTCACAAAGGTGAAAATTGGATCAGTCTGGCAAACCTTAACTTCCACATAAGAAGCTTCTGAATAAAAATAATATTATGAAAGGACACCGCAAACTATGGTGGAGGAATATTAGAACTTTTATTGGATTTAACCATATGCTACCATTAAAGCAGTTGCAGTGTAAGAGATAGATATGAAATTCCTTCAGATTCCAAGTTGGAACTCATTTTAACTTTTATTCCTAAAAAAATGGAAATCGGCATTCATCAACAGAAAAACATCAAGTGGTCAAGTAGTTGTCAAGAAAAGCTGCAGCCTGAATTGTAATGTAATGTGTGTGTGTTTTGTGTATACTTGGATAAAAACAAAGTGAAAAATGGGGGAACATTCACAGTTTGACATCATCTTAAAAAAATGCCTAGGACTTCCAAAGAGGAACATGCTGTTAGAAAGATATCAGTAGTCTGGCTTAAGCAGTAGGAAACCATATGCTTTTTTTCTTGCCCCTGACTAACAGAGCATGAGGCAGCAATTGGGATAGTCTGTGTGAGACTGCAATTAATTTTAACACTTGTAGGTCAGAGTGTGACAGGAATAAAAACATCTGAGCTGTAGATGAGTGATGGAATTTTACACTAGCAGGTAGCAGATTAAGAAGGATCAGTGTGTGTGTGTGTGTGTGTGTGTGTGTGGGGGGGGGGGGGGTCATTCTGTGTGAAACAAGTGTACATCCAACCAGCAATGTCTTCATATAGTAAAGCCAGGCATGCATGGATCGAAATTTGGCTGGTTCAGCAGCAACCGACTGAGATTCGATCCATGAATGGGCAGGCTGTTTGTACTGAAGTCGATCCATTGATTGACTTGGATATAACCAGCCTATCAGATTTTTTGACATTCAATTACTGCTAGCAGTAACCATTGTGTTCTGACCTGACTGTGTTGATGGGGAATCAAGCAATTTCCTTGCTTTAAAAGAAAATCAAATAATCTACAGGCTGCTTGGGTTGACTCCTGGATGATGCCTTTAAGGCTACGTTCACACTAGCGTTGTGTGCAAGCGGCAGAGAGGCATTTGGGAAGTGTTTTTACCGCTTCCCAAACGCCTCGGACAATTCTGCACATTGCAGCACATGGTGCTGTTCTAACGGGGGCGTTAGTGTCACGGCAAAACAGACGCTTCTGGTCGAGTCAGGAGGCGTTGAAGCCTCCTATTCTAGTCTATGGTGCCGCTCCGCAAACGCCTGGCCGCCGTTTGTGGCGCGGTTGCGGGGTGTTTGTGGAGTGGTAACACCATTTAAACTTCATTATAGACCTTTGTGGGGCATTTTTAATGCTCAGCAAACGCCTAGCAACCACCGGTAAACCGTGCATGTGGCGTTTGCAGAGCGTTTGCCGAGTGTTAAAAATGGACCAACGCTTGCCAAACGATATAGGGGCATTTGGCAAGCGTTGGTAAAACAGTCAAGTCTGAACGAGCCCTAACAAATATAGTGCCTTTTCTTCTGGGGAGAAGAAAATAAAATGTTTTAGTGGGGAGTACTTTTTTTTTTTTTGATAATTAATAAATAAAAACAAATGTTACACATGTATATTATTTAGCATGCATGCACTTAAAGTGGAGCTCCACCGAAAAGGGGAAGTTCCGTTTTAAAGACTGGTCCCCCGCTCCTTATAAAGGATTGACAGGTACCAGCACACACTTCCGCTGTGATCACCTAGGCGATCGGAAGCGCAAGTTGTCCTCCCCCCTCCCTCCACGTAGTCTTCTGGGACACGTGACAGGTCCCAGAAGACTACGGGGCCATTCAGGAAGCGCAGCGCTACTCGCACATGTGCATTGGGCACCCAGCTGTGAAGCCGCAAGCTGCCCACACTGAAGATGCCGGCGCCTAGAACACCAAGCGGCTGGTGAAACAGGCTGTGGGGAGGACATTGCAGGATCGTGGGACAGGTGAGTGACTGTTTTGTAAAATTCAGCAGCTACAGTTTTTGTAGCTGCTGAATTTTATTTTTATTACAGTGTGAGTGGAACTCTGCTTTAACATGATAAATATATGATATATATAAGATATCAGGTCTTCTTTAAAAGAGTTCCCTCGTTTGTGGTATTCATACCCAGTATAACACAGCATGGTTGGTCACTATGCATAGTTGTTTTATTAAAGGCCCGCTTGAATCTTCCCGATATTTTCCCAAAAGGAACAAACACTTGAAATGGAATTCAAACTTAACACTTACTATTCTTAAAAATGTCTTCTCCTATCTATCCTGCCTACTCTGTGTAAAAACATCTGCGTACTTACGTTTTTAATCCGCTCTGATGCAGTCACTTAAACCTGCAGCTCCAGCTGCCCTGTGTCAGTGGTTGCAGGAGAGAGAGAAAAGAAAAGCGACAATGGCTGAACATGGGAGCCTTTAGGTGATGTCCAGGGGCGGACTAACCATTTGGAAAACTCGGGCACTGCCCGAGGGCCCGGGGTCAGTAGGGGGCCCCATGAGATGCCCCTGGTACCTTTTTCATAGGATTTTTTGAGTTTGAGCAAGGACACAGGGGCCCCATGATCCCCTATTGCCCGGGGGCCCCATGAGTTGTCAGTCCGCCTCTGGTGATGTCAGTTCCCAGTCATAGTTGAGTGCTTCCTTACACAGGGAATCCAGAGCTGCAGGATGATGTGACCAGACGTGACCAAAAAAAAACGGTAAGTACACAGATCTTTTTTAAACAGGGTAGGCAGGATAGGTAAGAGGAGGAGGGAAGGAACTTTTTTAAAAAATAGTTAGTGGTAGGCTTGAATTCCACGTAAACATATACTGTATATGTATATAGTATATACAATATACTTTAATATATATTTTTAGATACTATGTTTCCTTTTATTTAGTATCTTGTTCGGGAACTTCTGTACACTTTTTTAATGGGAGTCAATGTAAGTTGTTGAAATCACAAGAATCTAGCTGATCTCCAAAATTCTGCAGATTCTTGCCTGTACAGACCAATAGCAGGTCTGCATAGACACAAAACAGTATGCTAAATGTAGTATCATGTCTTGATGTTTCTCTTTTTCAATTGTAAATGTATTCCAGAGCTTGGTGTCCAAGCTCATGTCAGAAGAAAAATAATTAGTTGTTTACTAGTCATAACATGAATGAATATCCCGTACAGAGCGACTAACTGTAGGGGCATATATTAGGCTCCTATGTGCCACGTCCCATAACATTAAATCTAATAATTCGAACACATAAAGCAAAGGCCAATTGAGAGGCTTTAGAGGCACTGCGACATTTTTTTTTTTTTTAATCACTTTATTATAGGAATGTACACCATACACATCAGTTACATATATATTATTCCGCTAAGAATACAAAACTCCCATGGGGGGGGGGGGGGGTTGGTATTCTCTGCTGGTTACAAAACTTTTCAAATATTTTCCTTATTAAATTGACACAAATATACCGAATCCCGGTAAAGATATCAATAGGCATAGATCGGATGTTGATATGGGTAATCACATAGTGGTTACTCTATAGTTACTTGACATGTTTCACAACATTATCACTTCTTCAGGAGTTACTACATAGAGAAGATAATTGAATGAATATACCTTTCACATAATATCAGATAATATAAAATTATTTGTAAATATAAGATTTCAAAAATACCTTGAGGTATCAGTTACAGAGCAGAACGTGTGTCAGGATAGATGATAATACATGGGTCAAAAGTGTGTCAAGCAAGGCAGCAGGGGGATCCCATAAGGATAAGGCACCACTTGGTAGTCCCCATAGAAGGGTTGTTTTCAAAGTCTAAAAATGGTATATAGGTCATAAAATAGCTGTTTCACCCTTCCCCAATCAAATGATAATATGATAAAGGTCAAATAATATATTAACCGTTTCAATACCGGGCACTTTTACCCCCTTCCTGCCCAGGCCAATTTTCAGGTTTCAGCGCTCTCACACTTTGAATGACAATTGCGCGGTCATACAACATTGTACCCAAACTAAAATTTTATCATTTTCTTCACACAAATAGAGCTTTCTTTTGGTGGTATTTAATCACCGCTGGGGTTTTTATTTTTTGCTAAATTAACAAAAAAAGACCACAAATTGTGAAAAAAAAACACATTTTTCTTTGTTTCTGTTATAAAATTTTGCAAATAAATAATTGTTCTTCATAAATTTAAGCCAAGATGTATTCTACTACATTTCTTTGGTGAAAATAACCCAAATTAGGGTGTATTATTTAGTCTGTGGGAAAGTTATAGAGTTCACAAACTATGGGATATATCTGAAAATTGATCAATCCTGAAGTACTGACAGCCAATCTAATTTCTTGAGGTCCAAGAATGTCAGAACAGTACAGATATCCTCCAAATGACCCCTTTTTGCAAAGTAGACAGTCCGACGTACTTCATAACAGGCATGGCGAGTTTTTTGAAGTTGTAATTTTTTTGTCATAAGTTTTCGGAAATGAAGAAATAAAAAAAATGATTTTCACTATTTTTTTTTACATACTGTCACCAGTGCAGTACAGCGCCATCCTATAACTGGCATGGCGGTGATCAG